TGAGATATGTAAATACATAAGAAATGTGTGCTACTAATGTAAATTTCCCAGATTAATTTATGTTTTTGCAACATTTTTCAAGGTCTTCATGCACATCTCATGTCAAAGTGTTTTAGCTTGTAGCGAAGATCACACCGGTACTCAACGCTTTAAATTGAATTGTCGAGTTCAAATTCGTGCTACTAATGTAAATTTTCCAGATTATTTTATGTTTTTGCACTATATAAAAGGACATTTTTCAAGCTCTTTATGAACATCTCATGTCAAAGCGTTTTAGCTTGTCGCGAAGATCACACCGGTACTCAACGCCTTAAATTGAATTGTCGAGTTCAAATTAGTTGGTACTTTTTACAACATTGATGCACCGACAAACATTTCGGCCAACACTTATGCTTGAGGAAAGATACTTTTGATGAAGCACAAACAATTCTTTGTTTTTTGGGTTTGGCACTTTACATGCATATATACCACACTACAAATACATTAAAATTTTGATTTTAATATATATGCCACCCAAAGTTTTCCTATCACATTAAAAATAGTATCATTTTTATTTTTAATAAGCGATATATTTTTCATGCATTAATAAGATGATATTTAAATAAAAATTAAAGTATAGATGTTAGATGTAAAAATACATAGAATTGACATTAAAGTTATACCGATGGCTCTTCTAAATTCATCCAAAAAGAAACTAAATATATAGAATGCTAAAATTTTAGGGCAGCGTTCACGAGAAACTTGTCCATAAGGAAAAATTATTCTATGCAAAAATATATTTCGGTTTGCCCCACTTTAATTTTTTTTTTTAAAAAAAAATTGATCACGATGATCGACGGTGGAAATCAGACACCTCATGCATATCTACATGCGGTGTTCGTATGGAACAATTTCTCATCCATAAGGGGAAAAATTTTTTGAACTCTTTGATGTCTATAAATAAGCAGTACTCAATTTGATTTACTAAACTTTTAAGGGCAAAGGTGCTGGGTCCCCCTTAAAGCATGCTTAATTATTACTCCACCTTTCATTTAAAACATCCAAAATGTTGATTTCCGGGAGAGCTGGTAAAGTGAGGGGCAACCTTTTTAAAAGTTTTGCAAATATATATTATATATTATATTATATGTATACTTATTTGTCTATTTATTTAAAGATATATATATATTATTAATTGCACTTATTTTTCTAAAATACTCAATAAGACCCAAGACTTCATAATCAACTAATGTAAAGAAAAAAATAAATAAATATAGAGAAATTTACATATATACCAAAAAATTTTAATTTATTTTCATGTTTAAAACCAAAAGTTTGATATTTTATTGATAAACTATACCATAATAAAAGCCCTTCAAAACACATGCTCATGCAAATTGATTTCTAAACCATAATTTAACAGAAACATGACATCATTTATGACAATTGTGGATGGATTGAGAGGAGTTTGTTGGGAAATTAATTATACCAATAAATTTATGTAATCATATGATAATTTCATCCATGATGTCACAACCAATTCTCAAAATAGCAGAATTGTGTTTTTTAACAATTAATTTTTATTTATTCCTCTTTAAGGAATTCATTTTACTTTTATATGTAACGGTATTTTGAATGCAGGAAGCCTACATGGTCCCCGAATCAGACGGTAAAAACAGCCGAGCGGTTCCCCGGAGCAAACTACTCCGACCCGTAATCCTCCACGACGGCCGCCTCGCCCAACGACCAACTCCCCTCACCGCCCTCCTCACCTTCCTCTGGCTCCCCGTCGGCCTCCTCCTCTCTCTCCCTCCTCCGTGTCTACATCAACATCCCTCTCCCCGAACGCATCGTACGACACACCTACCGCCTCATGGGCATCAACCTCATCGTCCGCGGCTCCCCTCCCCCTTGCCTCCCCCCTCCCCCGGCCAGCCCGGCGTCCTCCTCGTATGCAATCACCGCACCGTCCTCGACCCTGTCGTCACCGCTGTCGCCCTCGGCCGCAAAATCTCCTGCGTCACCTACAGCATCAGTCGCTTCTCCGAACTCATCTCCCCCATCCGCGCCGTCGCCCTCTCCCGCGACCGCGAATCTGACGCTTGTCGCATTCGCCGCCTTCTTGAAGAGGGCGATCTCGTCGTCTGCCCTGAGGGGACCACCTGCCGCGAACCTTTTCTTTTGCGCTTCAGCGCGCTCTTCGCTGAGCTGACCGACCGCATTGTCCCTGTGGCGATTAATACGAAACAGGGGTTGTTCTATGGAACATCTACTAGGGGATGGAAGATGCTGGATCCATATTTCTGTTTTATGAACCCTCGGCCGACATTCGAGATCACGTTCCTGAACCAGCTCCCGCGGGAGCTTACGGTAGCGGGAGGCCGCTCGGCCATTGAGGTTGCCAATTATGTACAACGAGTGTTGGCCGCGACGCTGGGGTTTGAATGTACAAATTTTACGCGGAAGGACAAGTATGCCATGCTTGCCGGGACGGATGGGAAGGTGCCAATGGCGAGGTTGTCAAAGGGGAAGAAGGATGGTCGCCAGACGGAGGAAGTGGAATTGAAATAACGGGAGGGTGCGGTTAAGTTAGAATTGGGTGACGTCATTGTTTTAGTTTCAGTTTGATTGGATTCAAGTCGTGTGTTTGTTTTGGGGAAAATAAATTTTAATATGATGACGATGTAGTATGAAAAAAAAATTACGATGATTGTGGTATATGTACGAAGATTTACATTTCTAGTTCGGAAAATTAATAATAATAATAATAATAATAATAATAATAATAATAATAATAATAATAATAATAATATATAAATGAAAAAAAAACTTTTTCAATTAAATATGAATCTTGATTTAATTTTAGGTTACAAACATATGGATTAAAATTTACGATCTTTTAAAATTTGATTTCGTGGAACTTATGATCGTATTAAATGTCACAACATAATGAATTTAATGATAAAAAATGATTTAACTATTAGAGTTCAAATAAGTCTAAATGAAGCAATTAAATGTGATTGAAATTCTCAAAATATTAATTGAATAGTCAAATAATTTTTAAAGTTTGGATGCTTTTAATCAAATTAGGTATCTCAGTAAGAGAAGTTTTATGAGTTTAAGATCACTTAATTATAAACTTATTAAAGCATCTAATTGAAACAAAGCAACAACTGTTTGATTAAGTGTTGTAGAACATTGGCCAAAATATCACTAGAAATTAGAGATATATCTCAATTTTTCATGTAAATGGAACAAAGATTTGATGTTAAAGAGATCTTGTAGATATGAAAAATTCTAGACCTTTAACCAATAACTAAGGTCAGCCGAAAACTAAGGTCAACAATTATGTTGTCAAAATATTAATACTTGATTGTCATATGTAGTATCGTTGTTTTTTCATTATTACTTGATTGACATCTTCTAACCACCTTTGTTGTTCTATTATTTTTGCTTTTCCCATCATCACTTCAATATTATCTATTTGCCACATTTTTGTTTGGCTCACGCTTTCTTCTATATTTCTCCATTCTAGATGTCCTCTTTTTCAAAATCATCATGTCGCACGATTTAAGAATCCTTTCTATTCCTCCATTACAAATATGAGAGAGAAGAAGGGGAAGTGAAAGAAGATAGAAATGTGGCTGGAAATGAAAGAAAAAGTGTGAGAGAGGGAGTAGGGGGGAGGGGCCGAGAGAGAGAAAGAGAGATTACCAATTGAAACAAAAGTGAAGAATTATCATAGGATAATTTTGCTGAGAAGAGTTAGGAATATAGATTCAACTGTCAAACAAAGTTGACCCAAACAAATTCATGAGATAGGCGAATGAAAACTAATGTTTCTTTTTGGCATATAAGCATTACCAAAGTAACATGTTTAAATTGTTAATCACATTTTGGGGGATACCCAGAAGACTCTTGATTGAAAAAAAAACTAGGCTTTTATACTTAAATCTTTCAATGAGATTTTCAAGAAATAATATCTTCATTTCAGTAGGTGATATCCCATGGTTCAAAGATATAACAAATTATAAGATAGAGGGTGAAACACCATATTCTAATGTGTGAATGCTCTCAATGATGAGGTTCTACAAAATAATATCAAATGATGTATCAAATAGATTACAAATGAGCCCATATGGGTTAAGGGATAAGTAATAAATTTATAGAACTTTTAGACATAATTAAATCTAAATTTCATGGATATATCATCTCGAGTTATCAAATATGAATCTAATTAGTCATGAAGGTACTCAACCTAACACATTGAGGAATACCTTATCATAAGCAATGAATTATATGTCATCCAAGAAAATTTTATAGATTCAAATCCAGGGAAGGAAACTAAAATATAATCATTTGACCATATTTAATGGATGAGACAAGAAATGGACTTACCCTTATTATAACATGACTGGATTTCTATGGATGGAAAGGGGAAAGAATAATTCGACCATAAGAGTCAAACGACCTAACATGGACTTAAAATATTGTATGGGTTAAAATAACCACTTAAAGTCATATAGCATTTTAAACTAGCTCCTATGGAAGGTTAATTCATGTGAGAGGAAACTAAGTATACTTCACAATTGCATGTAATGATTCAAAATTATCTATTTTAATGTGGAAACTCAATTAGTATGCTTGTAATTAGGTTAAAGTATGCATGTGAGATAGCCCTAGTTCAAAGTTGGGGCAAGGGAGTTCATCCTCATAGGAAGCACAAATTTTGACCTATGAGTTATTTTTGTCACAGGAGAACTCCAAACATTTATTTTATTAGAAAATTTGGCCATAAAAAATGCATTAAATAAAAATCCTATTTTATGAAGAAACATTTTGTGCAATTCTTTCATTGGTTTGAAGTTATGACTTTTATAAAAAAAAAATATTTTGTCATAAGAGTCTAATGTATGATGCAACCCAAATAGGCATAAATAAGAAAGAAAATAGACAAATGGATCAAATATGCGAGAAATAAATTAACAATAAGAGAATATATAAATAGGTTGGTGACCAGAGGAAAATATGTTGAGATTTTCATACATATTTTATACGGTTTTTGATGATATTGCACTTTAAAGAAATGTATTTTTAATGTTTTGTTGCAGGAATGATGAATTAGGGTCATTGGAGCAAAAAGATGCAAAAAGGAGCGAATTTGGAGCGAAAAGGACCAAAATATAAACCAAAATATAAAGAATTAACAAGGACACCGACGACGCCATCAACTCCGCCGACAGCGAGATTTTCTCGAGACTCCAGAATTAATTCATTAAGAAGGTCCGCCGACGGAGCCCTCGAGGCCGCCGACGACGAGCTCGGCGGGTAGGGCCCACAACTAGGCTTTGGATGATGACAAATTTTGAAGGGATGCTTAGGCAACTCTTGGGAAAACTCATCCACATCTTTAAAGAGAAGTCTTTAACCAAAAATAAAAGAGGGGAGGCTCCAAATTGAAGTGTGAAAAAGTGTAGAGAGTCTAAATTGTGAGGAATTCTTCGAGAGATTGTAAGAGTGGAGGGAAAGTGAGAGATTTCTTCCTCCTTGCTACTTCTAAGAGGAATTCTGTGTGCTGTAAAGAAAG